ACCCCCCCATCCCCCCCTTTTCCCCTTCCCAAAGCTGGCCGACAGTGTGTCGGGATCGGGTCCTTCCCTAGCCACCCTGCTACCTGCTCTCACGCTGGCCCTGAACTCTTCAGCAGGTTCTCGTGATGGGTATTCAATCATGGAGAAGAGGGCCTCTGTGCGGGGCATCGCGTCTGAGAAACCTCCCAAGTACACCCCTGGTATCCGTACAGTGATGAGGACTTGAGGGAGCATATCGGGCGCGGCAACCTGCTAGGACGGTACATTCTCGTATGTAGCAGTGAAGACGCATATCGTATAGGTGTGTCGTATGTCGTGTAGCTGACAGCGCTAATAGTCGGCAGGTCCACGGCTACGTCGTGCAGAACTGCGTCCCCTTCACCACCCCGGGCCGCCAGGGTTTGCGATTCCTCCCCCGACAGTTCAGGGTTCTGGCCTGTCCACTCCCCGTTGCATGGAGGCGATTCCTACTCGTACCACCCACTCAGGAGGAAGCAGGGATAGAGAATAGGCGGGAGCCAAGACAAAAGTAGAAAGGGTACCATCTCGTGACTTTGGATGCATACAGCTTACGTCGACGACCGTTCGTCCTCGCCCCAATGTCCATCTAGACATCGAGATGGGCTTATATGCTCGTACCAGAGACGGCGCTCCCATCCAGTGGCGCGTATCGGATCATACTCATGATTCCTACATCTGTGCTTATACTCTACTTCTTCTCCGGCTAGCCTCCAACCGATGTGACGTGTGGCTGCAAGATTTGAATTAGGGGGTCCAGCTGACGGCCAAGCCACCCTTGGAAATTGGGACAGAGCAGCCGTAGAGCCTCGCTATGGCTTTCCGGGCAGCAAGAGTCGTCGACCTGCGATGGATCGAAACTCCGTCCATGGAAGGAGGATTCTTGGAACGGCTCAATCGAGACAGCACCACCAGCCGCCGGGACGGTCGCGCTCGACATCGGGGTTGCTCAGGCGTGGCCTCTTTTTTTTTTTTTTTTTGTGGACATGTGTGCGACGTAATAGCTCTACACACCATCAGAATCTCCATGGAGGAGATCCGACCTACGCTCCGACTCCAGCTCTACCTGTACCTGTATACCTCTTGTCCGGGTCGCAGTACGGAGTCAGATGTAGTCTGGACCATGTACAGAGGCAGTACTCGTCGTGAGGATATGCGCACCCAAAGAGAGCACGGCGAAAACTTTCGCGTATTCGGTGAGGGTGAGAGCATCTTACTGAAGCTGCTATCTCCTAGTGCTGCTTAATATAGCCTATTAAAAGCGTAGTTGTATTCGCTGTAGGTACCCTCCATGTTCCTTTTCCTCTGCGCTGGCGAGTCCTGGCTGGCCACGCTCTGCCTCTGTTCTTCTTTCTCGCGTGTAGCTTTAGTCCCGGAAGGATCAACTGGTTGTTCCTGCCGTCTAGATCCTCCCCTCCTCGATCAGCTGCCGTCAATTGTACGGGGCTTCTGACCTGACATCTACAGCTATTTATCCCCCATCTCCACCTTACCTTCCTTGCATCTTCGACGCTATTCCATTTATACACTTTTTGCTCCGGGCAAGCATCTTTACTTATTTGCATGGCTTTTGCCCTACGTCGGCTACAGAATCTTCGTGCTACCCGTTGGCTCGGCGCCCTGTTCCCGCAGGACGTGTCAGGGGGAGAGAACACGCTCCAGAAGCTCGGCCGTCATCTTTTGGCCTGTGCGCGCGGGTGCATGAGTCTTGGAGACGTTGACGGACGGTATCGACAGCCGGGACTCACCTTGGCCCCTCTGGCCGTGACATCAGGAACCGAGCTCTATCTCTCATCCGTCCAGGACGGCGGGCTGAGGGTTGGCTCTGGAGTGACCAGGACGAGTTGTGTAGCCCCGTCCGAGTTCCAGCCTTCTCTTCGTCCAGATGCAGACGTAGTCCCACCTGCCACCGATATACTTCGTATTGCCTGGCTGCTTGTTGGACCCATCTATGCTAAATGTCAACACCCTCTGTAAGTTTTCAGCCCCTGCGGACGTCGACCGTCCCTCATCATCATCATACCCTCTCCCCCCTTGCCTCTCCTGGATCATCTTCCTGCCTTCTCTTGACGATCTTGTTGATTTCCTTTGACCAACATGGAGCCCCTTTTCCCCTCGCCTGGCTTCCGAACAGCATCAAGCCAACCTCGCCCGTATTCGAGACAACCAGAGAAGATCCCGCGCCCGCAAGAGGGAGTACCTCCAGGAACTGGAGCATCGCCTACGCGTCTGCGAGCTCCAGGGAATCGAAGCCTCCACCGAGGTCCAGGTAGCTGCTAGGAGGGTTGCCGAGGAGAACCGTCATCTTCGTGGCCTCCTGAACAGACAGGGCATCGGCGACGATTACATCGCAAACTACCTGCAGACGGCAGCAGCAGCTCAGACGACCACCGAACCCCCTTCCGCCACTGCCTCTGTCGCCGTCCCAGGGTCTCATGCTCTGGGGGCGAGCACCAGCCAGTCGGTCCAGTCGCTACAGCAGCAGCTCAAACCGCGAAGACCAGCCGCCATCGATCAGAGCGCCGCATTCCCCATGTCCGTCCAGACTAGCCCGCAAGACTCCATCGGGAGCGTTTCGACAACCGCCTCTTCGCTGTGGGAGACCCCGCCGCAGCACCATATACAGCCGCCGCCGGCGATGGCTGCTCCGTCCGGTATGATGGCCTCATATCCCATGAATCCATCCACGGCTCCACGCATGGATGCCTTTATGGCGCAACCAGCTCAGCACCACCCGCAACAGCAGCAGAGCTTTATGGAGCACCCTCGACACCAAGGATTCTCGATTCACCCCCCACCCCCTGAAATGGCAGGCAGCAGTGTCAGTTATGACCCGAACGCCCCTTTTACCCCGGATTCCCGAGATTACGGACAACCACGAGGCTATCGCTGAATCCGGCCACGAAGAGGTGTTTCCTACGATACGGGCTAGATCAGGGCGAATGGATACCACAGAACCTACAAAGCCCGCAGGAGCTTGGGATTGAGGCCGAGGCAAGTATGAGAGTCAAAAGTTGTACAGAGGGTCAGAACTTGGAGACCCACTGGGGTCTTGTCGAGAGAAGCTTTGGGCATCATGGAAAATATGATAGGAGCACGGGGGAGTATGATATCTCAAGGTCGTGGAAATATGTGGAAAGACCTGAAATGTAAATAGGCCGACAGCATCTCGGCTTCTCAAGACCACCTGTCTCATAACAAGACGGGACAAATGACCGACGAGTACATGACAAGTCACTTGAAGGCTGGCTCTTTGCGAACAATGACCTCAGAGATACGATCCTAGAGAAACGGATCTTGAACGTCTATCCGGAAATAATGGGACCTGGTATGCACCATGACATAACGCGGGAGCTAGCTGTATGTGTATGTGCATATATATAGAAGGAGTAATCCGTAATAGGCCTGGTACAGTGCATAGCAGACGACGCTATGATGGCACTAACAGGTCATCCTGATATTCTCTCCTCTGTCCTTCCATGTCTCCCAATGTGGACTAAGCATTCCAAGAGATGCAACGACATGGCGACAGGTACGCTAGGCACAGCGTGGGGCAGGCCGAAAAAGTGGCAACCCATCTAATATGTTCTATCGAGCATATGCAAGCTCGAGAACTACTGGACCACCCCAGGGGCTAGCAGTTTCGACTAGCAGAGGTGTGCTAGTCATTGTGTACATCTAACAGCAAAGGCGTCCCAACAAGCACGAATACTAATAATTACTACCAGTATCGAATCACGTAGCAAAGCAACAAAAGGCCAGGGTACTAGGCAGTTTAAAAGGGGGCAGGAACCAAATTCATCTGTAACTCCGGGCTTTCCTACGTGAGTCCGTTCATCTAAGCCATGAGACAATCATATCAGACGCACAAGATGCGGGATGAAGAGAAAAAAAACAAAAACAGGGAAAGAAAAGAAGCCCTCATACACGTAATAGCTGTTTAAAACTAGAGAGAGCTTCTTGCATGCCACTCCACTCTATTCGAGGAAGGAGGAAGGGGGGGAGAAGAAGAGGGAACGAGGTATCTAAAAAGAAAATGGGGCGTTGGAGAGTGGGAAGTGATATAGAGAGAGAGATACCAGAGAGGGAGGGAAGGGAAGGATCTACAAGAAATAGTCGGCGACGGGCTTCTTGGCAGGCATGCCCCTTGAATCCTGCGGCGCAGCCTGGAAGACGCGGTACCTCCGGGCCGGACCGCTGAGGAGCTGGAGAGGTGGGGCGGAGGCAGGACCGCCGGAGGAGGTGTCGCCGCCTGGCATGGGTGTGGAGGCGGCGGCGGCGGCGGCGGCGGAAGCCGTCTGAGCCTGCTTGGAGCGGCCTACGTCACCGTTTGAGCGGGCGAAGATGGCGGTGCCGTCGTCATCCTCGGACAGCTCGAGGACGGCGGCGACGTTGCCGCATCGGTAGCAGTAGTTCGGGGCGGACCAGACGGTGACGATGGAGGCGTCGAACATCTCCTTGAAGCCCTCCATGACGAGCTGGTGGGCGCGGGCGATGAGGCTGAGGTCGTTGCGGTGATTGAACACCTTGACGATGTCGGCGCCGAACAGGAACCCCGCGCCTCTAGGCGAGAGGCCCCACCCGTCAATCTCGTCCGGGTCCGACCAGAGCAGGTCGCACATGGCCCCCTCGTGCGGCACCTCCTGCTTCCGGTCGATGAGCCTGATCCTATCAATCGAGTCGACCAGCGGGGAGAGGCCGCCGTGCACGCACAGGACCGCACCCGTAGGGTTGCCCACCGACCCGTTGCTGGAGCCGGAGGCGCCGGTCCCGGGAGGCCCCGTCCGGTCGCCGCCTGCGGGGCCTTGCTGCTGCTGCTGCTGCTGCTGCTGTTGCTGCTGGCGACGGAATCGGCTCATGACGTTGCCGGATTGGTCGCACACCTCAATCTCCGTCTCGGAATCTATGGGCTCCATGCTCGACGGCAGGGTGTTGGACGCGCCGAGGACGATGGCCCCCAGGGCTAGGTAGTCGAAGATGTCGCAGCAGTACCGCCACACGTTGGCGCTGCCGTACTTGCGGATGCACTCGTCGTAGAAGCCGTATACGGTCGTTATCTGCCGCGACTCGTGGTTGCCGCGGATGAGCGTCATCCTGTCCGGGTACCGCACCTTGAGGCATAGGAGGAGTAGAAAGGTTTCGAGGGAGTAGAAGCCTCGGTCGACGAAGTCGCCTATCACGGCACCGACAAGGTCAATTCTTCTCCGTTCTTGCCAAAGGAGACGGGGTGTTCCGCGTGCTAAGGTGTGGGGTAGGACATACCCATGAACAGATAGTTGGTGTCCGGGACGTCGCCGCCGACGCGAAAGAGCTCCATCAAGTCATGGAATTGGCCGTGAATGTCGCCGCATATCTAGGAGAATGTCAGAGCTGCACAGAACCCCCGAAGGGAAAGGGATCCGAAGTGGAGGGGAAGAGAGAGAGAGAGAGGACGCACTGTGACTGGCGCCGTAACAGTGACGACGTTGCCCTCCTCGATGAGGAGCTCGCGTGCCTTGTGGCAGATCTCGCGAACCTGGGATTCGGGTATGGGACTGCACGAGCGCAGCTGCGCAATGGCCCTGTACACATTCAGTTCAGTACATGTCGAGAGAAGGAGGGATAAGATGAAGAGGATGAAGGATGGATGAAGGGGGGGGGGGATTGGAAAGAAAAAACGGGAGCATGAACTAACCGGTCGAGATCGCTCATGGTGTGGCGGGGAAGGGTTTCTGAGGACGTCGTCGAGTGTAGATAGGACGAGGGATTCAAGGCTTTCGGTGGGTTCGGTAAGCCGGCGCACGTGCAGGTTGGATTGCTCGGCGGGTGCTAACTGGTGTTGCGCACGATTCACGACATGTCGCACATGGAGGGAGAGAAAGAGGTAGAAGGAGCCGATTGATTCGACGGGTAGCCGTGGTTGGAGAGAATAGGCGGTTAGGCCGATGTTGGGCGATTGCTGTAATACCAAGTTGAGATTTACGGTCGGTCGCGTACGAGTAATGACGAGTAGAGAGCACAAGCTATAATAATGTCCGGGCTGATCTGCGATTTTCTCGTGCCCCGTCGGTCGCTATCCTTGGTGGGCTGGTTGTATTATCATTATATCCGTACATGCTACCGTCTGTATAGCAGAGTGGCGCCGCGCAACGCACCGGGATTTCATTTTCTCCGAAACAACGAACTTTTTTTTTCTCTCTCCATTCTTATTTTGATTTTCTACTTACCCGGTAATACTGTTTCGTTTCTCGTTCGTGGTCAGCAAAAGGGGGCCCCCCCCCACTCTTCCTTGAGCGGTTTTGAACGGTACAGCCAATCGAGTCGCAGGAGATGGAAAGCACCCTCGAATTCGAGGCCAAAAAAATCTCAAATCTCGAAATAAGGCACACAATTGGAACCACGGCAATCAACCACGACGGGCCAAGCTCTAATCCCCCCCCTTCCCCGCATTGAGGACCTGGTAGACTTCCTCTGACGGCTCCTTGTCATACATTCGTTTTGCTTCCCTTGCCGACCACCCAAATCGCTTCAATTGACGATACGCCATCTCGAGTGCGCGCAGCGGACCCCTCGGCGATCCGTTTCCTTCCGAGATAATACCTCTCTCCCCCTCTCCTTGGGGAGCAAGACCGCACCGCACACGAGACACGATGCCTCCGCATCTGCATCCCCGGTCGCGCATGACCTCTTCGCTGTTCGCGTCGACCGTGGTGGCATGCTTCATGGTCGTGGCGCTCCCCCACGTCCTGCCCTGCCCGGCCCCGAAGACGACCAAGTTCGCCGACGGGTCCGTCGACGTGGACAGCAGGCGACGGATCCGTCGGCAGCAGCAGCAGCAGCAGCTCGAAGCCAAGAGGAGCGCGGGCTTCGTCAACTTCTCCATGGACGCGGGCGAGGACGGCAGCCAGATCGCCCGTGCCTCCAGGCGCGGATGCCCGGTGCCTAAACCCGGTGGTATCCTGGGTGAGTGGCTGGGCTTCCACAGCGACGACGGAGACGACAAGAGCCTTGTCAGGAGGATGGGGAGGTGATCTTTTGTATGTCCGTCTCATCGTTCGGGTCATGGTCAACCCTCATGTCATCTCTTCTTCTTCTTCATCTTTCGTCTGTCTTTGTTACTTTTTATTTTTTATTTTTTTTCTTCCTCATGTTTTCATCATCATCATTGGAACGATCAGCGGGGTGGAACTGGCCGGAGGAAAGGAAGGGATCGGGATCGACAAACGACAACAACATACCAAGAACGCGGCATGCAACGAAACACCAAAGCACAGGACGGGAACACAATTTTTTTTTATCCCTGTTGTAACATATTTCTTGTTGCTGTACAAAAAAGTACCAAGGGGGAGGGGGAGGGGAAATCGGTGACGTTTTTTGGAGGGTTATACCAATCGCCGCCGCCCCATTTGGGCCCATGTACATACCAATCGATATAAACGACCTAGAAAGGTTACATGTATATGTATTCACGTCACATCACAGAGTCATCGAAGAAGAGGAAAATGAAGACGAGATGGAGGTAAAACGGAAAAGCTTGTCGTAATACTACTCGATATCAAGCTTCCCACTGTGCAGTCATCATCGGGTTCCTACAAGAGCAAGCACGAGCAAGGCTGATGGTAGCTTGGTAGCACTACTACCCTGCGTGTTCCCCTGCTGCTCGCAGTCCTCGAGAGATGCATACATATATAATCTGTACATCACCCCATATCAGGGCAACTCTTCTCTTCTTCTTCTTCTTCTTCTTCTGCTGCGTCGTAGAAACGAAGGAATAACGACGATGCCAGGAGTCTTGGCAAAGATCAACGTCCGTATAGGGGAAGCTTATAGGAATCCGAACTCTTGGCAATCATGTCGGCTCACCGAGGGCTGTATCGGGATTGCTCCTCGAGATGAGCATTGACAGGCGACACAACCTGCCTGACAGATAATACCCTCTATGTAGCACCGTCTGCCCTCTATTTCGCTCCTCTTCACAAGGAGGAGGGGGGGACGTCACCTCCATTGTAGAATGCAACTCTCATCGCCAATGGCTCGTACGGGATCTCATGCTACAGGTCGTTGGAAGGGGCAGAACAGAACGCAAGAGAGATAAGAGAGAGAGATAGAGAGAGAGCGTGTGTGTGTGTGTGTGTGAGCAAGGGTGGGAGGGAGGAAGGGAGAGAAAAGCCCTCGGCCACCGCCCACGTGCTTACATCATCATGATGAAAGAAGTATTCTATTCCCGGAAAGACAGAGGGGAAGCCCCCCCCCCCCCCCCCCCCCTCCCCAAGTGGCTCCACCGCTCACCGACGGTGGCAGTGCTCGTAAAGGTAGGAGAACAAGTGTGCCGATTAAATAAAATTTTTCNCCCCCCCCCCCTCCCCAAGTGGCTCCACCGCTCACCGACGGTGGCAGTGCTCGTAAAGGTAGGAGAACAAGTGTGCCGATTAAATAAAATTTTTCCGAAACACCCCGGCACAAAATTTCGCATCCATGGGCTGTAGCGGCGGGAGTCTTTCCGGGCCATCCTCCCAACGTTTCACCAACTCGCTTCAGGTTACGACAAGCAAAATCACAGGCCGCCGATGTGAGTCTGCAAGGTGGTGACCGGTCTATAGAGCTAGACGGAACCACAGCATGACGGTATGTGGCAATGCAGGCATTATTCGCGTACCTCTCTATGATGCCTCCTTGGATAGAAACTCGGTTGCAACCAACAGAAACAACCGACAGGAAACCCCTGCTGCTTATTACCAGAGACGCGAAGAGAGGAAGAGAATGGGGCGGGGAGAAACACACGCCGTCCATGCTATGGCAGTGATCGTCTACCGCATCCATCGTCGACCCATACTCCTCTCTCTCTCTCTCTCTCTTGTTGTGTGCAGAAAATTAGAATACGAACGAGTACGAGCTTACTGCTTGCTGTATCTGCAGTATTGATACATGTATAAAATAAAATAAAACATGTATACTGGGCAGTGACGAGTTGTATATTAACTCATACGAGTTGGGTTATAACCTACAACTTGCACTAGGAAATTTTAGTATGGACTTGCTTACAATAATATGGAGTGATAAATAACCATGTCGGACATGGGCAATTTTTATACTCCGACACTGACGTTTCCGTCATATTCATCCTCACCATAGAGGAGATTACTAATACCGACCGTACCATTATCACTACTCTCGTACTCGCATTACTTGTAATATTAAAACACACAGGACAATGGCACTCCGCGGGGGGGGGGGGGGGGGGGTGAGGAGCTTTTTTTTATTTACTATATATCTCATTATATATTTATTGCCGTCGGCTTGACATATGGGGCTCGAATCTTGCATACACGTAAGCGGGTGGGCGGTCGGTCTGCGGAACGCCTGCGGAGGTGGGAGGCCTTCTCTACACATCCGTTCCTCTAATCTGTACCGAGTAGTGATGTTCAGTCATCATGTCCATGCCCATCGACATGCACATCACAATCCCCGGGTCCCAACACCGTCGCAGGGTCCGGTGCTAGCAACGCTCTACAAGTACGTGCGATGCAGGCTACGAGCAGATCGTAATGCCGTGAGGTGGGTTGAGCTCGATTCCTACTACTGATATAGGAAGCAGTAATACGATTACTCCGTAGCAGCAGTAGACTGTAGGGGAGGCTAATAATGTACACGGCTCCATCGCACAGAACGTCTCGGTCGCGATGAGAATGTCAACTGCTTATACTGTTGCGGTCGACAGATTATTGCTACTAGTTGATACTAGTAACATCGCCTATAACCTATAAACATGCATACGTGTATACTAACTACACAGATTACCCGTACTCGGTATTTATTACTCGGTTCGACTGCGAGGCGTTGCACAGAAAAATCAGAAATTTCCATGCCCTTCCTCCTTGGCACCATCTTCGACCCGAATTACGACGTAGGGAGGCCCGATCCCGCCTTGGCTGAGGAAGAGATTGGCGGGGCGCCTATCCGTGACCGCTGACCGCTGCCGCCGCCACCATGACCAGACAAAATAACAACAATAACGACGACATACACATACTCGTAATCTGTACACATTTTCCACTCAGCCTCGGGGTATCAGTGACGCCGTCACCTCGCCATGTGAGAGTACCTCATTGCATTGTCTCTCGATCACCCCCCTCCCCCCCCCCCCCAAAAAAAAAAGACCGGCCTCCACCGATGCGGACGCAGCTGCAGTGGAATAGCCGTATGTATGATTTCTACTCGATTGCGGGGCCGGTGACAGGGGGGAGCAAGAGTCCAGAACGTCGTCTTCGTCCATCTTGCTTGAGCTTTGCCGTCTTCTCTTTTACGTGTCTCCGGTTCACAGAGGCGTCCCGGTCTGAAGAATCATAGTTAGTCATGAATGACAGTGTGTGACCCGGGACCGTGGCTGTGACGATACTGGTAGTACCACCCTTCCGCACACAGTCGTGCACTGTACGTCATAATAGGCCCTATAGCACGAGCATACGACGGACGTACATCCAAACCAGCTGGCACTGGCAAGCATCAAGCAGTGGAATGACCCTTGAGGAAAAGCCTTGGCAGAACGGTGACGCACTGGCGGTCTGTTGGATGGCTGTCCCCTGTCTTGGTACCATCGACTTCAGACCCGCCGCTTGCTTGGCTTTGCCGCCCGCACTCCTCTTCGGCACCTTTTGGTGCGCTGTTGTTCGGTAGACTGGATTTGGTGGTGGTGGTGGTGGTGGTGGTGGGAGGGGGGGGCCAGGGAGGGGAGGACCCGGAGGAGGGAACCCAAGGGAGATGACGACGATCGGGAAGGCAGCTTTGTCTCTTGAGAGCAAAGCATATGGTACGGAGCACGCGGCGCTGCATGTGATATGTATTATTACTCCGTAATACCTGTAGGGAGAGATGGGACCCCTTTCTTGGATAGACACGGTTAAGGCGAGATTCATCAGGCCTCGTATTTTTCTGCTTTGCACAAGTCATGAACTGCAGGTACGAGAAGGGAAAGGGAGGGCATACGAGTACGGTACAAGGCCGGCATAAGAGCAGAGACAAAAAAGCAAAATAAATGAATTTTTTTTCTTAAAAAAAAAGAAAGAAGAAGGAGGAGTAGAAGGAAGCAGAAGAATAAAATAAAATAGAAAGAAAGAGAGAAAGAAAGAGAGAAAGAAAGAAAAGAGAAACGCACTACTTTATGCAGTGACTTGGGAGAAATATTATACAGTATTATTACTTGTAGTTTATTTTGTGTGTGTTGTGGTGGCTCGTTCCTTCCATTGCTGGTTTCTGTCCTTATTCATGCAGTTGTAGTGGGGAAAGAGCGAAAGGGAATGATGGAAAGGACTCAAGACGAGTGAGCGGCATGGCGCCGCCACCTGCGGGCGGCTGGGCAGGGAGTAGGTACTCGGTACCTCTTCTCCTGCGTACAGATGCACCAATCCTGGGCGAGGTGGCAGGTATAGATACATGTACCATCTCGACATAACGCAAACAGAAAGAGCAGGTACATAGTATTATATAATATGTACTGCTACTACGCGGTCCTGCCAAAAAAAGAGCAGGAAACCGTCTCCGCTTTATCCCTACCCCCCTGGTCTCCCGTATGATGGCCCATGGGCCATCAACCATCAAACTCGGTAATACTGAAGTACCAAGAGACTTGGGTCCTCGTACTCGTGGCATTACGAACACTCCGTCGTACTACCAGTACCGTGTACAGATTAGAGACGGCCAGAGTAAGAATGATACTTGCGTCGTATTCATTACCACCACTATGAGTGGGTGGTACTACCTGCTATTGGGAGTCTAGGACTAAGTTGGCGCAGGTACAGCAATCCAGAAGAAAAGTATTATAACTGTCCCTGCCGCTTCTTCTTCCTCCCATCACCTCTTACCTCCCTCCCCCCCCCCCCCCCCCCCCCCCCCCCCCCCCCCCCCCCCCCCCCCCCCCCCCCCCCCCCCCCCAAATCTCCCTTGACCTCCATACTGCTTTCTTTCTCTTCTTTCTCTCTTTCCCGTCTGAAAAGAAGACAATCTGACAGTCGTTCTCTTTTGCTTCCTCTCGTTTTAGCTCAGAGACAATACGCAATTCTCTTGTTACTTTCACATTCTTGGACCCTCGTTTTGTGCCTTGTCTCCCTCAGTGACGCAGCTAAGCTATTTCGCTAAGCAAGAAGCTGCTCGCGTGCCCTTTCCGGCTATCCAATCCAACGTCACGGCTTCGTGCGCTACACCACAACCGGCCACCTCAAAATTTATATAACACCCGTCATCATAGCATCATACTGTCCGTTGAATGGACCAGTCTCTATAACGGCAAAGAACATGACCGAGAAGCTCTCTTGAATTGAGAGAAAGGCAGAGAATAAAAAAAGGAAGGAAATCTACACAGCGAGGGCTTGGACGACGCCGACCGATACTACCCGACCACACGCATATACACACGACATACACACATCACGCCCACCGCCACCATGACACGTCGTGACAACCAAAAGACCATCGCGCACGATGATGAACAGGATGTCTACCCAGAGGGTAGCTACTTTACCTATCGACCGCTGTCCAGCCTGCCCACGCCTCCCCCCAGCTCTCGTGATTCGATCTCTTCCCACTCCCCCACCAACAGCCTTACCGACGGAGAGTCGCTCAACCCCAAGCTACGAGGTAAGTTCTGACAGCTCCGGTACACCCAAGCGGCAACGACATCGGCATCTCTCGGCGATGCCATATCCCACCGTGTATCCCCCCCCACTTACTGATTCGGTTCCCCGCAGGTCCTGCCATCCACCTCGTCAACCTGATCCCCGCGTCCGCCTCCCTGGCCACAGCCTCGGTTCCTGTCGTCCAGGCCATGCTCAGCCGCGCCGACCTCGACCTCGAGACCATTGCCCTGGCCGTGTGCATCCTCGACAGCCTCGGCGCCAAGTTCGCGCGGACATGGCGTCTCTCGTGCCCGCTTCAGGCTCCCGCTGCGGCCAACAACGCGCCCACCACCCCCGACACGCCCCCCACGTCCCTCTCCCCCTCCCACGTCATCCCAGCAGCTGCGATCAAGCGCCACTCTCTCCCGCCCGACCCGCTGAGCGACCACTGCCGGCGTGAGTACCAGAAGCGTCTGATGCACATCGACTCTGTCGGCCCCGAGGTCATCGTCCTGGCTGCCCTCGTCATCGCCGCCAAGTTCGTCGAGGACTTCCACCGTCCCGCTGCCGTCTACTGTTCCTCGTGGGGCCGTGACAGGTGGACCGGCGACCAGCTCAACACGACGGAGCGATGCATCATGGAGTCCCTGGGGTACCGCATCATGCCGCTGTGCGACGAGGCCTGCTTGGCCGACGCCATGGTCGACATGCAGCTCGCCGCGCAACACAGCGGCTACGCCAACGCTCACGACCACGCGTGCGACCAGCGTCGCCTGCAGCCTGCGGGGCTGGCCTCGCCTCCTTTGTCTGCAGGCCCGCAGGGCGCCACCTTTTCCATGTCTCACAGCCGGTCAAAGACTATGGCTGTCGTCATGAACCCTTCTATGCTTGAGTAGTACAGCGTTTGGCTTCTCTTCCTATTCTCGGCTCTCTTCTTGTTGTCACGGCATGCATGGCGCTTCTGGTGTTTTTTCTCCCTGTCTGCCTTTTATTTTTTCTGGTTTATTTTTTTTGGGTTAATATGATATCCTAATCATGGCTGCGGGGTCGGCCAGGCGTTCTGATCTTGTTTGATCTAGTCAAGAGGGGAAAATGTATGTCTGGTTCCGGCATTCGAAAATATTTCTCGAGTACATTGTTCCCTGGAGAGCATAGTGGCATATATCTAGTATAATTCATAATAAGCATTCGATGCGTTTTATCCTTGACGAGATGCAGAGATGGGAGTGGAAGGGGCAGATATGAAAGTGATGCAGTAGAGATGAGGGTGAAAGATGCGGAGAATTTGGAGTAGAGACGTTGCGCGGATGAGATGCAAGCAGTCAGAGGGTAGTGGGAGACGCCGACGACGGGGCCATCAGGGACTCAGCCTATCGAGGGACCACTCGTCCTTGCCGTCGACGCGGGAGTACAGGAAGCGGTCATGGAGCCTGTTGTTCCGGCCCTGCCAGAACTCGACACTGTCGGGGATGAGGCGCAGACCCCCCCAGAATTCCGGTACGGGGATATGCTCCTGGCCGCTGAACCTCTCCTCGGCCTCCCTGACCCAGCCTTCCAGCTGAGCCCTGCCGTCGTCATCGTCTCCGTCCCGCTCCCCACCCTCGCCGCCCCCTCCGGTCTTGCCCTCGCCGGCCTTGCCGCCACCCCCGGTCCCGGCGGCGGCAGAGGGGACGAGGACCTGGCTCTGCCTGCTGGCCCAGGCGCCGACCCTGCTGCCCCTGACCCTGGTGTCGAAGTAGACCTGGCTCTCGGCCGGGGTCAGCCTCTCGGTCCTGCCCTCGACCCTGACCTGCCTCTCGAGGCGGTCCCAGAAGAAGAGGAGGCTGGCGTGGGGGTTGGTGCGCAGGTCGGCCGCCTTCCTGCTCGTGCCGAGGTTGGTGTAGACGACGAAGCCGCCGCGCGAGTCGAGCTCCTTGAGGTAGACCATCCGGGAGGAGACTCGGCCGCTCGGGAGCTCCGCCGTGGACAGGCAGCAAGCTTCCGGGTGCGAGACGGCTGGCGTCTCCGGTGCTGCGTCGGCAGAGCCAGACCTGATGACTGCCCTCTGAGCTTCCGAGAACCATTTGTGGAATTGGGTTATGGGAGACGAGGCGTCAAGGTCCGAACGGGTCAGCCGACCGAGTGTGAACTGTCCCGCTTGAGCGTGCTGTTGAGAACCAGCGGGGGAGACTTGATATGTACATTGTCAGCACAACAACAACCACGCACACACATACACACACACAAAAGGAAGAAGAAGAGGAGGAGGAGGAACAAGAAAGAACAAGAAGAGGAGCAGGAAGAGGAACAAGAAAAGAACAACAATAAGAAAAGAGAACAAGAGAAAGGAACAAAGCCATACGTGGACTTTCATCGTGTTCAGGAGAGCAAAAAAGGAGGGGGAGGGGGGGGGGGGGGGAAA